TAATTTGAAGGGGACTTTAATTTTATTTTTATACATTGATTACTTTAATATCATTTGTATTTTATGATGATAATATTTCCATATTGCTCCTAAAATTTAAAAATATATAGCTGGATGATACTTTGAAAAATTAACTGAAAAGTTTTTTATCACTTCTCTTTGCTGCTGGATTTTTCCCCATTCAGTCAGCTAAGCACTTCAAGTTCATTGCATTAGGAAGATAAAGACCCAGCAGAAACAAAGGAAAAAAAAGGAAAATTATTGGCTATGGAATGTCAAAAGCAGAAACCACAGGAGAACAGTAAAGACTCCTGTGAACAAACAATAAATCTCGCCTCAATTATAGAAAGATTTCCCTGTACTGGAAGGTCAGAGAAAGGGAGAAAAGTGTTGAAGGAGAAAGGTTAGCATGGCCAGGGACAAGAAAAACTACTTTAAAGACTATATGTCCAGGAAGACAATCAGTATCTACAGACTAGCCAGCCTGCACTTGACCTGCACTCCAGCCACCACTCCCAATCACAGACACTTGGAGAAACTTAGAGAACTCTGCCTGCAGCTGGTTTGGAACCCATTCCATTAAGCATTTTATGCCTGCAGAAGAAGCAAGAACTATATTAGATCCTCCCTGTGAACTCTCCACCTTTCAGAAACCGAAATGCTCCTTGTACTCCAGCAAAAAGGAGAAGAGAGAAGACTTGGAAGATTATGTGGAAGATTTGGGTGGCAGGGGACATGCCTGGAAGTGTGGCATTTATCTCTTCTACCATATTCTATCAGAAAGTTCTGCCGCATGGCCCCACCTAACTGTAAAAGAGAATAGGAAATATACTTTATGTAAATGCTCAGGAGGAAAACAAATACAGATTTTATGGGCATACCGCAGTGCGACAGTCCCAGATGGCACATCAGTATGGTGTGCCCAACTAAAAGCATCTTCAACAATCATGACATCACTGTTTCATAAAGTTCACATTTGAGAGGTAGCTGACTCGATGACTACAGGTCCCTGAATAGGACTTGCTGTAATTCTTTTGGCTATCCCCTCATGTTTGAAAGACAGTTGCCATACCTGTAGGCATTACACCTTCCAACATCTACCTTCAAAGACAAGAAGGAAGGGGTCAGGGTTTTTCACCATGAGTCACTCCCTTTTTATCAAAGAGGAAAACCTCTGCCAAATGGTCCCCAGCAAACTTCCCCTTACTACTTATTTGGTAAAAATCAATCACTAGAAAAGTGGAATGAATCAATATGACCAGCTTCAATAAATCAAGATTCATCTCCTGGGGCTGTGCCCAGTAAAGCTCAAAACCTGAACAAAATCAGAGTTCAGCTAGCAGGAAGCAAAGAGTGATATTAGAACATGATCTACCAAAGATGGTAAATGAAAAACACAGATGAAGTGGTAGAAACCATTCCGAACCTCTCAGTCTTTGAAATAAACTCACTTACTAAAAAGCAGATTGAATATTGTAAATACAGCAAAACAGTTCTTAGACAAAAAGCATATTAAAGCAGACTAAATGGAATTTAAAGCAAAAAAGGAATTAACAGAGAAAAAGTGCGGGGAAATATTTGACAATAAGAAAATCCACCAAAAAAAGTACAAAACATTAATTTTCACGCGACTTGTAATACAGTTTCAAAATATATGAGCTAACTCTGTACAAACATAAGGAGAAATTGACAAGTTCACAATCATTGTAAAATATTTCAGGCTATACCAGAAACTGGAAGATCGGACTTAAAAATAGAAAGGATAAAAAATATTTGAATAAAATAAAGGAGACTGATTAACAGATATGCATATGAACTTGAATCCAATATAAAATATACATTATTTTCAAGTACATATGAAACACTTTTTAAATCGATTATGCACCATGTTACAATAAAACTTTAGCAACTTTAAGATGTATTCCTATGTGATTCACAGATTAAAGACAATATCAGAATAGAAATTATAAAACATTTAGAAATAAACAACAATGAAAGTATAACACAAAACTTGCAGAATACTACTAAAATGGTATTTCAGAAAATTTGCATAGCTTCATATGCATTTATTTAAAAAGAAGAATGATTAAAAATCAGTAGGTTAATTGTTCAATAGATGCTGGAAAAAGAAAACATTGAGTAAACCTATAAAAGAAGGAAAGAAATAATAAAGGCATGATTAGAAAATCTAAAAAAGAAAATAATACAAAATATCAACACTACTAAAAGGTTTCATTTTTAATTATTAAAATAACAAATCTCTGGCAACACTAATCAGTTGAACTAGGATAATGCATGCAGGGCTTCATACCTAGGTGATAGGTTGATAGGTGCAGCAAACCACCATGGCACACGTTTACCTATGTAACAAATCTGCACATCCTGCACATGTATCCTGGAACTTAAAATTAAATTTAAAAAAAAGGATTAAGTGAACCCCCATTCCACAGAAGCTCTTTCAGGGATGAGAGGAAAAAAAATCATGGCATAGGAGAAAGCTAATTTTGTTTTTTTAAAAAAATGGACGAGGATAATGTAAGAAAAAAAATTATACTCTGATTTTATTTTTGTCATAAAAATCCTAAATTTCTTAATAGCAAAGTGAATTCAACAATTTAGTAAAATCAAACAATAATGGTAAAATGAGGTTTATTTCAGAGAGGCCAGGATCGTTCCTCATCCAAAACCCTATGATGCATTACACAAAATTAACAACTAAAGGAACGAAATCATCTGAATAGATGCATCAAACCCACATAAAATTCAACAATCATTCTCACCTTTTTAAAAAAATTAGGTTATTTTTATGGTCACTATTCTTTTATATTATATCAGAGGTCCTAGCCTGTTCAGTAACAGAAGAAAAATAAAAGTGCTGTCTAGAAATAAAAAGGAAAAAACTAATTCTTTTTATTTGTATTTAATATGATTGAATATAGAAAAATACGGAATACTATACAGAAATACACCTAAACAATTTCAAAAAGGTGGCTAGATGTGAAATGAAAATTTAAAATATGCATCAGTAATAACCAATTCTAAACTATAATAGAAAAAATATGCCATCTAAGGAGACTGAAAAGAAAAGATACCTTGGACCGCATCGAATAAAAATTGTATATAACATTTGTGGAGAAAAGCATTAATCATTATTGAAGAACAAAGAAAGAAAAAAAGTACTTGAACAAAGGAAGAAATACACAATGACAATTACTACTAAACTGAAATATCTATATACTTCAGCACAGCAATGGATGTCTGGGTATACATCCTAGAGAGAGACTCACACTCTATGGTAATAGAGGAAATTTGGATGCAACTAAAATTTCATCAAAAAGATAATAAATTAAAAGTTGGCATATTGATAGAATGAACTATAATACAGTAGTAAAAATTAGTTAACTACAGATATGTGTATGACAATGGATAATCTTAAAAACCTGCTTTTTAATAAAAACAAGTTGCAAAGTAATAACGAAGTACAATGGTATGTGAAACTTTCAAGATAGTCAAAACATTTTATATATTTATATAATAGTATAAAACACGCACAAAAGTATTAAAAAATACTCCAAATCCATATGAAAGGCAATGGAACAGGGGACTACGGCTGTATTTGTAATCATTTTTACTTCAAAGCCATCTGAAGTAAATGTAGAAAAGTGCTAAGCTTAATAAAGCGGGATGATGGAAACATAGGTATGTAGTGGAGTTTGTCATGGTCTCATGTGAAATGTGGCGTCCAGCCTTGAAAAAACTGTCACACAGAAGCCTAATCAATCCCAGGAGTTTGGGTATTGCTGCCTCTGGAAAAGGCTGGTAGATATCTTTAGTGCTAGTGTAAAACTTCGTTCACAAACCACTAGATAGATAGACGAAAATAATGAATAGGGCTGGGCGCCGTGGCTCATGCCTGCAATCCCAGCACTTTGGGAGGCCCAGGCGGGTGGATTGCTTGAGCCCAGGAGTTCGAGACGAGCCTGACCAACATGGTGAAACTTCGTCTCTACTAAAAAGAATACAAAATTAGCTGTGTGTGTTGGCATGTGCCTGTAATCCCAGCTACTTGGGAGGCTGAGGCAGGAGAATCACTTGAACCCAGGAGGCAGAGGTTGCAGTGAGCCGAGATCATGCCATTGCACTCCACCCCATCTCAAAAAAAAAAAAAAAAAAGAAGAAGAAGAAAAAGAAAAAGGAAAAAAAAAAAAGAAAATGATGAATAGATAGTTAGATTAATTTGTTAATTAAATAATATATCCAGGGAAGGTTTGAAACACAACCTTTATTACATATGATGTTTACATGTTAGACTGAGTGCTGGTCCCTCATCTCCTTCATACCTTGGGCAGTCTGTCTGCTACTATCTCCATGGCGCTTTCTTCTCCCTGAAAGTGAAGAAAACAATTGAGGCAGAACAGGAAGAGGCAAGAAACAATATAAGCATCACTAGTCAGTTACCCTTCACCTTTGTTTTAAAGCTCAGAGTCATGCACCCCCACAGTGAGTTCGTTTCCAGATCAAATGCAGCAAAATGAAGGTTCTGAAACATTTCCAGGTCTCTTGGTATCTCATGAGGATGATGTTACCTCTCCAAATTCCCCTTTTCCTCAAGGGCTATATTCATGGGCTGAGGTGAGGTCCCAGCTCAGGCCAAAGGCTCTCAGACTCCACACCTCTGATCTTGCTGGCAGCCTGTCCTTTCAGGCCAATCCTGGCCCTTGAGGTTAAACTGAGTTTTCTCTGCCTTGAAGAGCTGCAGTACTTCCTCTTAGAATTGAGGACAATCATGGAGACATTGAGAAAGTTCCCAGTCAATGCTCTTCACCTTATCGTCTAAGCAAATGGAGGACAATTCCCCCAGAAGCACCAGGTGCACCACAAGTTGATGCAGCTGCAGAGCCGCCAGGTGACCCAGTGCATCCCTGCAGCTCCTTCCCTTGGATTCCTCTGGGCCCTGATGACACAGCCTCAGAAAACTGCAAATCTCACTCCTTACCTCTTGCAAGAGAAGGCCACACCATCTTCCAGTATCTTCTGGCCCATAAGTCTCAGCTGCTGTGTGAAAATCAAACCAAAGAAAGACACTTCTTAGTTAATGCAACCTTAGAAATTCTCAGAATTTCCTGCAGGAGCTGGAAAGGTCAAGACAAGTCCTGACTTACAATCAAGACTTTATTAGATGCCTAGGCAAGAAGCAGGGATCCCAGTTATGTCCCCTTCCATTGTTCCCTGAGCCAATAAAGCCCCCAAATCTCCCTTACAGAGGGAGCCTGAACTGGGGAGAGAGTACTGGCTCAGGGAAGCCATTGCTCCCTCAGCGGTCCCACGACCCAGCCCTTGCTCACTTCCTGTCCTTTGGAAGGTCCTTTGGAGAATGAAACACACAGCCTGGACATTGGCTCCAGGATCTCCTCAGGCCAAGGTCTTCCCCTGTGGGCTGCCCCTCCTCCTCCTTCTTTGCTGCTGGTTTCTCTTCCTCCTCCTCCTCATTTCCATTTTCCTCCTCCTGCTCGTGTTGGGTGCTCCCTGATTCCATGTTGCCTGTCAGCTGAGCCATGGTGAGATGAAAGACGTGGCAGCTGAAGCCTTCTCTGATCCCATATTGCACATGCTCCTGGAGGATTTCCACGGTGGCAAAAACCCGGCAGCAGGCCATGCACCTGAAGCCGTTCTCCATGGTCACCAGCCAGTCAGGAGTCTTGGCCCTGGGTGTCTCCTCAACGGTGGGTGAGCCTGGCAGGCTGTCTGATTCTGTCCTTTCCTCATGCTCTTTCTCCTCCCCGCCGGGCTCACTGTCAGACAGGAGGTTTCTGGTGGACACATCAGAGGGGGGAGTACCTACCCTCACAACCTCAGGAAGGGTCACTTCTTCCATCCTTGGCTGCTTTTCTAAGGACTCTGAAGTTTCCTCTGTCTCCCAGGAGACAGCCACACCTTTTTTCATTTGTACCTGCATGTAGTATATTTTCATGCCCCTTTCCTCTTTGCTTACACACAGAGAGGACACACAAGTCTTATAGGACGAATGGGATGACAAGGAGACATGTTGTGAGCAGGGAGGAGTCTCTCCTCGTTCCTGAACCTGGGCCAGGGGTGACTGAGGCTGGGGGCTGTCTCGATGTAGTCTCTGGATTCCTGGAAAAGGAAATTAGAAACATGAGCAGATGCACGGGCCATGCCAGGAACTGGGGGAACATACGCTGAATATGTGTGGTGCAGGAGAGAGGGACTGTGGTGTGATGCAGCTGTGTGGTGAGCTTGGTGTTTGTTGTTCATATTGTGGGATAGTGATTCTAGTGTCATTTGTGTGTAGGGATGTTGCTGGGATGTCTGTACACAGGGGTGTGGAGTATGGTGGTGAGGACTGCAGCTTATGCGGAATGTCGGCAGCATGTGTGCGCTATGAGTATGTGAGTTGGTGCCATCACTGATGTGTTATTTGTGGAATGTGGGAGGTAGTGTGGGAGAATGGCACTGCAGGTCACGCATTTGTCTGGGATGTGTGCAAAGAGTGTACCTGTGGAGCGTGTGGCTGTATGTGTGAGGTGTGTAGGCCTGAGCTAGAGTCCTGCTGCAGTGCTGGAGGCCTGGGCTGAGGAACTCTGTTTCTCTCTGGAAGGCAAAGTCAGAGCCCAAGTAGTTCCGCTGAAGGTGCTTAATCTGGTCCTGTGGCGCTACACCCCAAGAGCAGACTTGCCTGGCCTCTGCTCCCTGACTGCCTGACTGCACACCAGGGCTCATGCTCTCCTACACTGAGCTCATATCCATGCTCCTCTAACAGCTCTGTATCTTGCCCAGACACCTCTGCAGAGCTCTGATCATATCCAACTGCCCTGGGTTTCCTCTTAGCCTCATCCTTGGATCTATGGGCCTCCTGTCCCCTACCCAAGGAGCCCTGCACCCAAAATGTCCCAGACCTAAGGAGCCCAGCACCCAAAGAGTCTCATACCCACAGTGCCCTGTATCCAGAGTGTCATGCTCAAGGAACCTCACACCCAGAGAATCTCACATCCAACGAGCCCCACACCCAACGAGTGTCACACCGAAGGAGCCCCAAACCCAAAATGTCCCACTCCCAAAGAGCCTCACACTCAAGCAGCACTGCAACCAAAGAGTCTCATGCCCAAAGAGCCCTGTACCCAAAGAGTCCCAGTCCCAAAGAGCCCCACACTCAAAGATTTTCATGCCCAATGAACCCCACAGCCAAGAAGCCACATGCCCAAGGAGCCCTGCACCCTTACCACCGTGGATGAGCTTGCGTGAAGAAGAAACACAGGAGAAGTATTCGGAGGTAGAAGTAACTTCTCCCACCCCTTGGCTCCAGCCTTTGGCCACTCTAGTGGATCCAGGCTGCAGGGCATCCTCTTGGGACTTTGACATTCCTGAGAAAGGTATGAAGGGCACAGAGATATGGTGGATGGGGAATGTTTGTGCATCATTTACCCATCCAACAAATATTTACTGAGTGGCTGACATATGTCAGGTGTGGTGAACACACATGGTTTGTGAGACAGCCTTCTGGTGGATACTCCAATATTTAATTACAGTCAACAAGTATTTTGATAGTGTATCATTAGGAACGTAGGCCTGTGTGGTGACTATGAATAGGTCTGAAGTGTAAGAGTGATACATATCAGATAGCCTTTGATATGTGTAGGTTTGTGTGGGTATATTATAGAAACATGTGTCTGTGTCTATGGAGTTTGTGTGCATAGTTTGTGTTTACAACCCTGGAATTATGCAATATGTAACTTTTCCTGATTATATGGTGTGGCTTGTATTTATAATGTACATTAATTCATTCATCTGGCAATATTTCATGAACAGCTACCATGATCAGACACCAGTCCACTCTTCTAGGCTCTAGGAATACTGAACAAAACAGTCCTTCTTCTCAGTGGACTTTCCATTCTAGACAAGAAGGCAGACTCTAAGCAGAAATATAAGTATATCATAGGTTAGCTCATCATGAATATATAAGGGTCACCAGATCTAGCAAAAAAACAGCTGATGCCAAATTAAATTTGAACTTTAGATAAATTACAAATAAGTTTTTAGTGTAAGTATGTCCCATGCAATATTTGTCATACTTATCTTTAGTGTCAGTATGTTCCATACCATATTTGGGACACACTCATACTAAAAAATCATTGGTGGTTTATCTGACATTCAAGTTTAACTGGACATCCTGTATTTTATCTGGCAACCCTAATAAGGGGATGGTGGTGAATCTTTGTTTCATCGTGGTCTATGCAAAGCAGGTCTGGCTCTGCTACACAATGTGTTACAGATATGGCATGTATGATGTGTGACTGGCTCTTAAAGAGGTATTTAGAGATAGTTTAAGGTAGCTGTGTTTGTGTGAGAGTTGGGGAGACACACACACACACACCCACACACACATGAAATCTCTGTAGGAAGAAAAGACTGTCACACACATGGGTTGTGTGAGTATGTAATAGAGGAACGGTATGTGTATCTAACTGTATGCACTGTGTGTGGAGGTGTGTGACTCTTTTTCTGTATCAGAGTACATATGGGCATATGAGTGACTGTCTCCTGGAATACCCTTAACAAAAATTCGGTACACACTGTTACGTGTATTGAGTGTTGCCCAGGCCGAGGCATGGTGACAGAAAGCTCACCCTGCAGAACCCACCACTGTGCTCCCATTATCTCCAGTCCTCCCCCTCCCAACACACACGCACGCACACACACACACAGAGACAGACAAATTCTGAAATGTAAGGGTAGATGAAGGAGAGGAAAACCATTGCCTTCCCCTTCCTGTCCCAGCCCCCTGCTCTCCATGCCTATTCTTCATGCCTCCATTCCCAGGGCTCAACCTACAGGTCTTTATGACCTTGGGCCTCATAGGCGCTGCTGAGCTCTAACTGGGGCAGAAGCCTCGAGGGCCATCTCTGGGGCAGGCTCCTTTCTGCCCTGTCTCCTGCATGTGACCATCCCCCTTTCAGGATAAGCGGCTTCTTTACATTTAATACCTGCCATTATCATGCAGCCTAGGAAGTAAACTGACAGCAATCGAAGACCCTTACCCTGATGTCATTTCCTCCGGGATGTCCCACACTGTGGATTCACAAATTCTGTTGGATTAATTGGTTAATTCTTCCTGCTGAAAAATCAAACCTCCGTGGTTTCAGTATGACGCCATCCCCAAACAAGTGTTTAATCTACTTTCTAACAAGCATTTCGCTTCTCAAGATATTTTTCAACAAGGCCTTTAATTCATTGGGCTACTCTTTCGTTTCTGCTAAAAGGGGCGGTGCAACTCATAGATTTCTACCAGCACCCTTCACACCTTCCACCTCGGTCACCCCAGGGAAAGAGCAAATAAAGAAAATGAGAGAAAGACGAGACTCAGGCTGCATCACTGGGTCTCTGTAAGTGGGTCCCCGACCTGCCTGGAGACTGACATAGTTCCAGGTACCAGCAGCCCCAGAACAAAAGTTCTCAGCCCAGCAGGGCTGGCTTTCTGTATCGTGTGCCACTGGCATCTGGACTTCCTGTCCATCTCACATCAGGGTACCCTCAAGATGGATGTGCCGGCATCAGCCAACAGCCAGGTCTCCCCCTCACTACCGCATAGGTAGTACATTCTCCTCAGTTCCTCCTCCCTAAAGAAGGCTCAGGCTGGCCGGGTGCGGTGACTCACGCCATTAATCCCAGCACTTTGGGAGGCCGAGGCGGGTGGATCACGAGGTCAGGAGATCGAAACCATCCTGGCTACCACGATGAAATCCCGTCTCTACTAAAAATAAAAAAATTTTTTTTAAAAATTAGCTGGGCATTGTGGTGAGTGCCTGTAGCCCCAGCTACTCGGGAGGCTGAGGCAGGAGAATGGCGAGAACCCAGGAGATGGAGCTTGCAGTGAACCAAGATCGCACCACTGCACTCCAGCCTGGGCAACAGAGCAAGACTCTTTTTCAAAAAAACAAGAAA